CCTAAGCTCTCAGCATTCGCAAAATGATCCAAGCATATCCAACGAAGATAGTTGGGCAGAAATGATTGCAAACATACGAAGGAGAAACAAACCTCCTAAACTCCCGCGCGGCGGAAAATCAACCAAGACAAACCTTACCCTCGGGTCCCTCAATATCAATGGTAGGGACAGTAACAAGTCTATGTCCAGTGTTGGGCACAAATTTAGTTATTTGAAACAGACAATGGACGAAAACAAGATAGGAATCCTCGCAATTCAAGAATCACACCTTGATGTCGATGGCTCGGTGCAATTCAACAATGTCTTCCAATGTTGGTTTAAGATCATTAATTCTGGACATCCCATAAAACCTAACTCTACTGCTGGGGTTGCATTCGTGCTTAACAAAAAATTCCTTGACACCGACAACTACCGTGAATGTGTCTTAATACCAGGACGTGCACTCCTCATTTCGATTCCTTGGCACCAAGGCGAAACTTTGACTCTACTAAATATATATGCCCCAAATAGCGCCGCCGAAAGGCGTAAATTATGGGATGATCTATGGGAAATATGGGTATGTGACCATACTCTACCTCTACCCGATATAACTCAAGCTGACTGGAATTTTGTGGAAGACCCCATGGACCGCTCTTCCAATACTGCGGATGATGTTCCGGCCTCCTTCAAAAGGCTGAAAGCCTTGTTTCGCTGGCAAGATGGTTGGCGGACGACCTTCCCTGACACGAGAGACTACACTTGTTGGCAACACCGCAAAGATGCCAACAGTGGACTTGTCATTAGCTCATACTCGAGAATCGACCGTACTTGCGTTGACAGTCATAAATTTGACCTGTTCAGAGACTGGACTATCAAACACTGCCCAGTGAAAACCGACCACCGATTAATACTTACCCAGATAACCTGCAGACAAGAAGTTCAACATGGTCATGGCCGATGGAACATGCCTATTTACCTTCTCAAAACACCCAAATTCATGACTCGTGTCCAACAATTGGCCAATAACTTGATCGAAGCCATTGAGAACATTGACCGAGGCGAAAATTCCAAAGATGATGTACAAACTCTCTGGGCTAGATTCAAGTCCGGAGTTGTTGAATATGGCCAACACTGTACACGGTATGTGACAAACGAATACACGCGCAAAATCCGAGCATGGAAAGCGCAGTTATTGATTATTATACATGATAATGACATGCCCCTTGCTGATCGCTGGGAGGCTATCACAATGCTAGAAGATAAAATTGAGACTTGTCAGCGAGAACAAGCTGAGGAAAAAAAGGCTATGTTGAATGCTCGATACGATGTTGAAGGCGAGACCTTGCGAACAAATTTCTGGACTCATTCCTCGAATGGATACCAAACACGCGACACAATTCATGAGTTTAAGATGGACTCTGAAACAGATTCAGCAACAAGAAGGTTCGAAAATAGGCCAAGACACATGGCGCAATTGGCCCGAGACTATCATAATACTGTCCAGGGGAAAGATCTGCCTGATGAATATAGTCGGATGATGGCAACAGAAATTGTCTTAGAAAAATGTGACGCACACCTGTCTGAACGTCAATACCGCGAGATGGACAGAGAACTCACAGGCGAAGATATTCGAGAGGCCCTTAAATTCTCAAAAAAATGGGAAAGCACCTGGTCTGGATGGCATACCATATGAGTTTTTCCGAATACTCGACATTAAATTTCAGCAAATGAAAGGAACCTTGCAAGTAACCTTTGATATCATGAATTTCCTTGCGAGGCTTTACACACACATTGAGGTCAATGGTATCACTAAGAACACGAACTTCAATGATGGCTGGCTATGCCCAATTTACAAGAAGGGAGACAAAGCTCTGATACAAAATTACCCGCCCATTACTTTGTTAAACACTGAATATAAATTAATGACAAAGGCATATTCTCTCAGGCTTATGGACATTGCACCGTCTTTAGTTCATCCGGATCAAGCTGGTTTCATGAAAGGGAGGAAAATTGAGAACCAAGTCAAGCTTGCCAAATTTCTCTTAAATTACGCCGAAGTCGCAGAAGAAGATGGTGTTCTTATAGCCCTCGAGCAAGAGAAGGCATATGACAGAATCAACCATGACTACCTTATCCGTGTACTGCGCCACATGCGATTCCCACCGAAATTTTATAACACAATTGCAAATCTATATACAAATGCAAAAACAGTCGTAATGGTGAACGGTATGTTAAGTGACCCATTTATTGTTTTGCGCGGAGTACGACAGGGTGATCCACTATCATGCCTCTTGTTTAACCTGGCTATAGAGCCATTTGGCTTGTCTCATTCGTCAAGCTGACTTGAAAGGGATTAAAATTCCTGGTACCAACAAAAACCTAGTCCTCTCGCTCTTTGCAGATGATACTACAATATTTCTCTGATCCCGAGACTCATGGTCAAGTCTCTGGGCCATTCTTGACCTCTGGTGCGCTGCATCTACCGCTAAATTCAATCAGAGCAAAACAATAATCCTGCCTTTTGGCAGCTTAAGCTACCGTGAAAAGGTTGTGCTTGAAAGGCGGATCAATAAAACTCAAACTGAGTGCATCTGTCCCAACATCAGAATCGTGCGTGATGGCGAAACATGCCGGCTGCTAGGTGCCTGGATTGGCAATGCTGTACCATACTTGACTCCATGGCCGTCAACAGTGGATAAAATCAGGAACGACTTGGAGTGCTGGAGTTTGACTAACCCTAGCATTGAGGGAAAGCGTCATATTATTAATATGTTTGTTGGTGGCAGGTCTCAATACTTGACCAGGGTACAAGGTATGCCCAACAACATTGAGGACTCACTTACTGAACTGATAATTGCCTTCCTGTGGGATGGCAAACGAGCTAGAATTTCTGCCAATGCTATGTACTCCGATATTTTAAAAGGAGGTAAACAAATTTTGAACATACAAGCTCGCAACGAGGCGATTGACCTGTGGAATCTTCAGACATATCTGATGCAAGGGCCTGAACGAGCTTCTTGGTGTTATTTTGTGGATTTTATGTTGGCAAAATGGCTGGAAACTAGTTACTTGAAAGTCCAACCTGGGCAAATTATCAATGTTTTCTTGCAAAATATCCATCTCCCAATTTCAAGTCAAACTCCACTCCCAGATCAGATTAAGAAAATGATCATGACTGCACGTAAATACCGACTTTATTTTACTGCTCTCTCTCTGGGGCATGATGTTAAACTACAAATGCCTATCTGGAAACACCCAGCAGTTCACAAGTCAGATTATGATCACGCATGCTGCCGCCAAGCAGCCACATGCTTGCGATTAAACCACAATGTTAGATCTGTGGAAGATGTTCTAACTATTGCTACACGTAGAACTACTGTTCAACGGAAGCCCCACACAATCAACCCTTCAGGAATTGGTCGCCAGAACTGTGGATGTCGACCCTGCCAACGTGACCGCGTCGAACTAGGATGTAAGCATCCCAGAAACTGCATTGACACTGCAAAGATTTTGATTGATAGCATCCATCGAAAATGGAACCCTACCGCAGATAATACTAGCTGCGGGAATTTGTCCCTGACAAGCGAGGAAACTGAATTAAATAGCAATCCGATGCGAACAGGTGAAGTCAAAATTTTTGATCCTAACTTCACGTTAAACAACCTTAACCGAGGATTCCGGGTCTTTGCATTCGGAGATTTTTTAAACGAGGCTCCAGCAAGGAGAGTACTCCTTACTGGACACCAACCTAGTCTCTTGACAGTATTTTTATACCCTCATATTCGACATGCCGGTGAATTTAACGCCGAAATACACTTAACTGTCATGACTGTTACTCATGACCATCAGACAGATTGCAAGGTTCTCCTAATGAGATTTGACAATCCAAGTATTCCACAATCCTTTTCAAGTGCCCTTTTAGGTGGGCTCCTACATACCTTACAACACTCCTCAAAAAATCAACCTCTTCTAATATGTGCATCCTCTGATTTCTTGCTACGGGTTCTAGTCAAAGACTGAACCAAATATGAAATGGACATGCTAAATCCTGGCTTCAAGCTGCTACACGCAGTTTTTGCGGCCTCAAATGAACACTCTGGAAGAATCCAATTCAAGAAAGTTGAGTCGAACCCGGCAAAATACATTCTCAGTCCGACGACGATTAATGCACCTGCCATTACCAACTAACCCGTCTAATTAGATGGGTCATGTCCCCCTTATGCCACCTCTAACGAGACAGAGCTCAGGCCAAAGGTGCCCCTCCGATACCCCGTAGCAACCAGCGTGACATAACGAGACATTTTCACCGCCGCCCCATGGAAAGCTCCGCAGGTGGGAGGTGTCCCGCTTAAGGGGGGGGGGGGGTAACGGTGTCGACCGTGGGTGGGATGTATGGGTTGGGGGGGAGAGCTACGCGTGGTAGCGGGACATAACGCCAAGCAGGACTCTGTGCTGCCCCCTTGAGGGCCATTAAGTGGGACATAAGGAACAGGTATGGGTGGTAGCAGGACCAAGGGGTAAGTGGGACATAAAGAACAGGTATGGATGGTAGCAGGACGGTGGGTCAGCAGGACATAAGAAACAGGTAGCAGGACCGACTGGTAAGCAGGACATAAGAAACAGGCATGAACGGGAGCAGGACAGAGGGGTAAACAGGACAAAAGAACAGGTATGGTTGGTAGCAGGACGGTGGGGTAAGCGGGACATAAGGAACAGGTATGGATGGTAGCAGGACCAAGGGATAAGTGGGACATAAGGAACAGGTATGGATGGTAGCAGGACCGAGGGGTAAGTGGGACATAAGGAACAGGTATGGATGGTAGCAGGACCGAGGGGTAAGTGGGACATAAGGAACAGGTATGGATGGGGCAGGACAGAGGGGTAAGCGGGACATAAGGAACAGGTATGGATGGAAGCAGGACCGAAGGGTAAGCGGGACATAAGGAACAGGTATGGATGGGAGCAGGACAGAGGGGTAAGTGGGACATGGGGCGGGACAAAAACGGAGTCCCTCAAAGGCATGGCCACAGTGGGAATCGAACCCACAGCACCTCAATCTCATGAGATCATTCAATCAAGGAGTGTTACCATTACACCACGTTGCCACGATAACTGATTATTTTTCCTGTAATGCCAATAACTCTGATTTCCTGCGCTACTATCCAGCTGAAACGGGACATCTGTCCCTCCTCACCACCCGCAGTTGCATTGAAGTGGGATACTTAGATGCCGTGGCGTGGGACAAAAAAAAATAGGGCCAAGCCAGAATATGTCCACAGTAGGAATCGAACCCACTTCACCTCGATACTCAGTATGAAATGATGATACATAATCAAGGGGTGTTACCGTTACACCATGTAGACGATACAAAGGGAAAAAAATGAATATCCCTCAGGAGCAGGGCCCCATTGGGAATCGAACCCAAACCGGCTGCTTCGACAGTATTATTTTGAGCAGCTGTACATACCACTATACCATAGGGCCATTGTCAACCTGTCTTTGAGTGAGGGTTCCCGCGCATTCCATCAATTTGTCTTTGTTATGTCCCGAATCCGGATCAACCCTTGTGTCCCGCTACCATCCATATCTCCATTCCACCTCCTGCTTATCCCGGTGTCCCGCTACCATTTCCTTATGTCTCGCTTAACCTTATGTCCTACTACTTCCATACGTCCCGCTTAACCCTGTGTTCCTGTCACACTTCATTTGGATGCAGTGGGGCGGGACAAATACCACGAAGATCGGTTTAAAATTACAAGTCCCAGTCAGTCTTGGGACGCAACATAAATCAAATGCAACTCCTCTGCCAACTGCTCTTCCTCCACGATGTCGCCTAAATTGTCATCAATCTCCCGCTCCACATCCCGTATTCCCATGATTTCCATCGCCCTGGCTACATCAATTGCAGTGGCCTCAGCATTGGTTTGTGTGGGCTATTGGCTCGACATTCTGGCTGCATGGATTCAATGCGACGCCCAGAACAAGCGTTCCTGTAAATCGGGGTCCAGCCTTGACCGCTAATTTGTTCAGGCGTTGGAGATGGATGTCGTCATAGTGTTCGCGCTGTCGCCGATGCCGTCGAACACACCAGGAGAGGCCTGGGTCCGTCTCGGCGATCTTCTTCTCCCGGGACTCCAAGAACTCCCGCTCATCCCTGATGTAGGTCACAAGGCGCCGTATTTCGATGTCGCACCGCAGAATTTCCTCCCTGGCACGTTCAATCTTGAAGTAGGTGTCCATGAGGAGCCTGGCCGCAGGGTTCACCCATGGCCGGACCTCAACCCCCCTCTCTGGATGGTGAAGGAGGTCGAAGTCTGAGAGGAACACATATTCCACGACCTCCGACCAGGTAAGCTTCCTCCCAGGTGGTACCATGGCGGTGGCGGCGATGTTATAACTTTTGAGTGCTGTCTGAATAGCCTGGGAGCAAGCCTGCAGAGCTTTCGCAATATGCTTGCGAAGTTTGTAACCTAGGGGATAGTTTAGTGCTGGAATTGGCGATCAACACAAAGAAGATACCTGTTTGTGACAAATTCATCTTGGTGAGCTCGAACATCCGCTGCACCACAAGCTTTTCCAACTTCATCAGTGCTAGACGGTATCTCTTTGTGCTGACCAGATGTGCTGCATCTGCCCATTCTTGGCTCTCTGGCAACCAGCGGACTTCTACTCCCATCTTACTTTCCGACTCTTGTACGTCCTTCAATGCGGTGTCGTAGGTCTCGCGGGCGTGCAGCCTCGCGGTCGCAGTGGCCTTGGATGTTCCACTCTACGCGAGGTCGAGCTTGGCTCTAGTAGGGGGCGGTGAGCAGGACACAAGGCGGTGGTGAGCAGGACACAAGGCGGTGGTGAGCAGGACACAAGGCGGTGGTGAGTGGGACACAAGGCGGCGGTGGAAGGCATATCGGGACAAGGCGGCGGTGAGCGGGACACAAGGCGGCGGTGAGTGGGGCACAAGGCGGCGGTGGAAGGTGTATCGGGACAAGGCAGCAGTCAGCGGGACACAAGGCGGCGGTGAATGGGACACAAGGTGGTGGCGGAACAGGTGTATCAGGACAGGGGCGTGGTGAGCAGGACACAAGGCGGAGATGATGGAAGTGGCAGGACAATTGAAGTGAGCGACCTGAAAGGGAAATAAAATAGAATGACTTACTTGCGATCGGTGAGGTTGACCAAACGCTGATAGTATTCCATTTGTTGAGTGTCCTCTTCCGTGTCGGAGGTTAGGCTCCGCAGATATTCAAGCTCGGCCTTGAGCTGAGCCGGAAATTCATCCATGCTCTTAATTCCCGCTCCTACCATCGCGATCTTGAGTCCGGCCTCTCCATCTAGAACCTCCAATGCTTGCCAGTAGTTATCCACCAGGAACTTACCTAGATACGTTTCAGCCAGAGTGAATATAGATTTTGCGAAAGAAATTACTCAGGTTCGTGTAAGTCTCGTGAGTGTCAAAGTGCGCAAAGTAGGTCGACAGCGTTTGGAGCCTGTGGAAGGCGCTTGCATATCGGATCGAGCCCGCCATGGTGTTCGACCTGGAAAAGAATCTTTCGCATCCCTCGAGGTCTTCGAGGCCCATTCTGAGGACATATCAGGCCAAGAACAGCAACTGGCACAGGCGGTTGTGCGCATGGCCATGAAAGGATCCAACAAGGCAACTGAAATTCTGCAGGAGAACCCTGTGCCCAAGTGGGCTATTGAACACCGTCGTATTGAAGCCACATCCTATGTTGTATCCAAAACCGATGGCTCGATCAAAGGCATTGAGGAGCTCATTGGCAATGGCGAGAGGGTACTTGGATCTGTGAATCTACCCCTCAGTGCCAGCCATCTGCGGAACGGGGACGACTTACAGCTCCCCGCTTTTAACCATATCCGCCACCAGTAATACGAAACCATGCCTACAAAGGCAAATGAACACTCCCGTCTCATCGTAAATCCACCACATCTTTTTTGTGACATCCTCAGACAGATTCTTCCATCTCTCTTCGCATGCACCTTACTCTTCTCGCCCGGTGAATCTGTATTCCCACCCTGTATGAATCGGTGAGAACCAAACCTTCGGAGGAAGTACTGGAGTCACCGTGGAGGAGGATCCCCATCAGGGGTCATGAACTCCTTAAATCTATCTTTCGCCCATCGGTCAACCCTCTCTCGAGACAGGAAGTACGGTTCTCCAGCCCCTGCAAGCCGCGGGTCTGGTCGCTCATTGGACTTCCCTGGAAGTGGGTTTCCTTCGTCGTCATACTCGTGGGCGCCCCAGCGAAGAACCCGCTTCAAGGAATCATTTCCGTCGGCGGTCACGAGCATAGAGAAGACGAGCTCTGCCTTGCCTTCTAGTTTGTACATGCAGGCGGGACAACAGTTCTTCAAGCGCCATTCAGGTGCATCTCGACCAATGGCCTTGTCCACCCGTGCTTTGACCCCCGGAGGATGGCCAGATAAAGGTCATATGCCACGGAGAATTGCTGAACGCGGTACGGTTTGAACGGGAGACCGTGAAGGTCTGTGAGAGTCTTGACCCAGCCCTGAATGGCTAAAGTTGGGGTCCGTAGTGGGTGACACGAAACAGCTCCAGTACACGGGTGGAGAAGCCGACAGTAGGGGTCCACGGAGCACAAGCTATTACCCCTTGGCTCACCAGAGAGGACGTAGTAAACTTGTCAGTGTAACGCATGGGTATGCTGCGTGAGGATGTGGCTGTCGACGGTTACCAGAAGAAGCCATAGTGAGGTGCAGGACATACCAAATACATCCACGAGCGTGATTTCATACAATTTCTCCACCAGAGGCGTCGCAGGCAGTGGAAGTGCTGCCTCCATATTGTCTCCCACCTGAAGACCCCATTCCACATAGGCGTCGATGATCGCGGGCATTTGAGGTGCGAATGCGTGCACTTGCTTCGCAATCATGTCCCGGTGCATTCTACGGTCTTGCGCGCGCCTGCCATCGGGTGATTAACGCAGTCAAAGCTGAGGTTACAGGGCTTACTTTTTGCCTCGGGTGTCCCGCTCTCCGTGGATTGCATCCTCAAGTGTGTCGCGGAGTTCTCCTCCAGCACCACTGGCCACGAACCCATCGCACACGTTCATAGCAGTGTCTATGTCATCATTCGGGCCGTCTGCTACATCTTCCCATTGCAGTGGATCCTCGTTGGTGGGATCTGCAATATCTCGCACATCGTTAAACGCCCGACGGGCAGCAGCGGTCAATACTGACGAACACCGTGAGTAACTTGTGTTCTTTCAGGCAAACACTCACCATCGTACTGCTCCTGCATCTCCTTTTGAGCTCGGTCGCGGATTACTTGGGAGGCTTTCGGTTTGACCGATGTCAAAAGTTGGCGCCGGGCCCCACTGTCGGTAAACACATTTGTTGAGCTCCGCACGCGAGGCGGGCGAGCACGGACACCTAGTCCTTTCTTCTTCGTGCTGTTAGCCATAGACAACCTGATGCGTGGCCGACACGTGAGTCATGTCCTGTTGCACCGACAGCGGTGGGAGGGTGTGGCGGGACTAAGGTGTCAACTGTGGTGAATGTGGTGAGGCAGGACACAGACTTGAACTCAGAACTCTTGTGACATATCGGCGGTGGCGGGACATCGTTGTACACAATGCGTCCTGCCACACCGTCGTGATGTATCCTGTTAATATGTCCTGCTACACCACTCCGCTGTAGCAGGACATCAGGCCACCTTGCCTTTTGCCACCTCATCACCTGGTGGGTGTTCGCATGGTTTCCAATCACAGCGGTAAGTCATGGTCCATTTTCGCATGGAAAAACCTCTGCATGGACTTTCGATACCCGAGCCCGGGAACATAGTGGAACAAATGTCCACGCCAGAGGGTTTTTATTGCTTCATATGTCCTTTCCCAATTCTCATGCGATTTTAGGCAGCTTTTTCGATGTCACGGATGTCCTCGACCTAAACTTTCACGTGGTGAGTAATGCCACCAGCACCTATCGAGGGTGGAGACTAATTGGAACGGCAGACATGGTCCGGACGTGTCTTTTCCCCCTGGGAGGCGGTTGTAATCGGTGGCAACAGCAGTGCCGCGTTCGACATCGCCACAGCCGTGTCCCTTGCTGTCGAGGAGCAAGGTGAAGA